AAATGGAAACTACTTTGGGGTTTTATATCGCATTAGAAGGTTCATCAACAAGCTGTAAGACTAGTAGCCACCGCAGAAGCGGCAGTAACAGTAGTAGCAACAACAGTAGCAGCAGCAGGAGGAGACGCAGAGGCACGGTTGCGACAACAAAGGGAATGATGGGGCGAAGTGCGGCTTGCACAGACAAGAATTGTGCTAACAATCCTAGTGTTTCGGCCACCCCAGGCAAAGAACACAACAGGGCCAGATGGAACAGCGCGCGCTCTACATGCATTTGGCTGGGACATAGTTCAAACGCAGACGAGACCCGGCAAGCTCACTCCTTGACGAAGGAGATCGGGGTGGTGGTGCCTTCCACGTCCAGCAGCACGACTGCTGGCCCTGTTCGGCGACGCTTGAGCGGGGCCTCCAAGGCAAGGTCTTTCAGGTTTTTGAGTGCCCGGGAGCGGCACATGTACATCAGCATACTCCGCATGCAGAGCACATGCACGGCACGCTCGCCAGGACTTTTGGAAAATCATGCAGGCCAAGACTACAGTGCTCAGGCAATATTTGAAAGCTGGGCCGGATGGCGAGGAAGATGATTAAGATCTGAGGCCAGAATGAGGACCACTTCATAAGAAACACCTTGATAGCTCCAAAGCTGATGCAGCCACAAGCACGATATTCCCGCATGAGGACTACTAACTACTGCGTTCCACTGACGACCCTCATTGCATGTATAGCTCAGGCTGCCAATGTTGGCTCAGTTTGCTTTGCTATCCAAGGGCATCACCATACCGCGTAGGCCGAATCCTTCATGACCCTGCAGCCTAAACCCTAGGGTCTAGGAGGTTGCATGGCATAGCACAACTTGAGAGAACTCGCCTCAGATGCCACGCGACCAGAGGCCCTGAACGGGCACATCATGTTTTGTATGTTTGGAGCTGTGAGGGTTGGTATATCCTAGCAAATGGTAGTGGGAACCCAAGATGGACCATAATGTTGGGCCTGAGAAAGCCCAGGCAAAGATTCTTCCAAGGTATTCCCCCCGAGGCTTGTTGCCTGCTAGATATCTAGGACGAACGTGTCTTGGATTTCAGGCTTCCGCAGTCGGGCTCAAGCTGAGGCATTGGTGATAAGTTCAGAAGCTTTGGCTAGCCTGAGCTGCAGGCTTCACGTTTCACACAAGTCATGTAGACCAGTGCCACACAACGCTGTAGAACTGCCCATAGAAAGCACCGTTAAGGCATGCCCGCCTCCTTCTCTCCAGTACATCCAATATGAAGCCAAAGCATTCCGTTGCAATCTTGGCTTTCCTTCGACTGGAACGGTTGTGAGTCGTCATGGAAGGGAACTGAGTAAAGGCGTTTTACAGGGATGTTATTCAACACGGGTACTTGTCAGCGGGCCGGTCCAGATTTTCAACCTTTGAACAGGCACCCCAAGCGCCGGATATGGATGCCTTCTACTTATCCTTTTCTTATTCTTTACACGCACACACGCCGACGGATGTAGTCATCATTGTGCTAAAGAGTAGATCCTAGTAACCAGTACGGGATCCCTTCTCCTACATGTCGGCTCTCTTTTATCTTCGGATGCCTTGGATTACCCTCCTACATCCTGGTAATGAGAATCCGGCCACACCTCAATACATTCGGAGGAAAAGGCAGCCGGGCGACTCTGCCGTACTACCGAAGATATAGGCGCCGTGATCCTGAGCCAAGCTTGGAGGTAGGTGCATGCTCTCCCACCCAGTTGAAGAATTGAAGACCGCAGTACGAGAAGACATTCCAAAACGGGCTCCTCTGAGCCTGAGTCTGGGTCACCAAGCTGCTTCTAGTAGAAACATTCTGGCTTCAAAAAGAGCTTCACTTCTCGTTTCTTTGTGTTAATCCAGGCTCCAGGGACTTTAGGAGGGACCCCTAATAGGGACCCTTAATCCCAGTACCATATATAACCCAAAGTCCTTAGACAGGCAGCTCGTACCAGCACGGCTGGAGCACTGGGTGTTCGCTCCAAGGCCCGCAGGAGATCTGGCACAAGCTCCGGCTCCCGCGCCTGGATCGCATGGTAAGTGAAGGGAGGGTGCACTTTGGGGCTCTGTGGTACCCAATAATGGAGAATCAAATGGAAAAGAAAATGGAAAGTGAAATGCAAACTGGGATTATATAGGGGTTATATCTTCATCTCTTGCCATGCCTAGCTGCTTAGAAGTCAGTGCGTGGCAAGCAGCAACGTCCAAGTAGACTTGAATGAGTTCATGTGAGCCATTGTCTAAACTCCTAGTATCCCCCTTAATATCCCCTAAAGTAGTCCCCTATATAATCCCCTACATAACCCCCTTTTAAGGAGTTTAGACTATAGCTCATGTGGCCTTGTTGTCAATGACCGGCACCTGGAGCACCCCGTCGCCCGGGATTCCAAGGCCTTGCCAACTGACTAAAGCCATGCTGTCGCTTATAGGGATTATGGGGGGTTATATAGGGGTTATATGGGGATAATGGAAAAGAAAATGGAAACTACCATAGGGTTTTCTCATTCTTTGTAATGATCTCAATAATAAGAGTAACAATACTGGAAGAAGAATACTAACAAAGAGGGTCTTGAGTTTGAGGGTGCCATTTTGGAGTTTTACGCCGGGGACGTGTGCCCGTTCTAAGTCCCTACATCATGCAGGGGGCATGTGGCTTGTCTTTCTATCAAGCCATGCCCCCATGAAACACTTAGACTTCCCCTTATTTGCAAAGCTGAAAACTTTGCGTAAATCTCAGCCCCGTCGTCTTACCAAAATCCTGCAGGACACAAGCAACCTTCCTGTCTGAACAGAATGGGATCGCACCATTCCAGATGCGAGTCCCTGTGCCAAACATACGTAGGCTTTAGGGCAGGGTTTAGACCTTTAATCGAAAGGCCCTGCAGCAGGAGAGACACCCACCCAGCAATACCTTCAAGTAAGCCCCAAGTCAGAAACTCTTCGTGCCACCCGTGCGTTCATGCTACCCATAGGGTAGGGTGTCCAAGTTATGGTTCCGTAGTTCTGGGGGTTCCCAAAACAAACGATACCCATATGCTCCTCCTCAAACAAGAATGACAAGAGAAAAGGACCCTAAACCCTAAATTGTTGGCGCCTTTGATCATCTCGAGATCTCGCACCTCCAAGACCTGTCCCACATCGCTCCATCTCATAGAAACATGGGAGAAGTGATTCCACTGCATCATCAACCAATGCTATGGTCTCTTTAGTACACGCAAAGAAGGACTGCTTTTTCTTTTCGGGGGAACTTATGCAAAGCTGCCGGAATAAGTTCTTCATTGGTAAGCAACCAGGTCTCTGCATGATCATCGCAGCTAACTTGAGGCGGACTGCTCAACAACAATGCGTGAAGAAATCCCTACAGGGAGCCCTCTGAGCTAATGGTGAAGACAGAGACGTGCTCCTATTTTTAACTTACCTAGCAAAGCCCTCCATAGCCCACTACAAAGGATTCCAACTTCCCCACCAAGATTCTATCTCTACCTTCTACAGCTGACAAGAAAGAAGTGAAGATTAAGCTTCAAATTTTTGAGCCCGGCCGTCCTGATCCACCTCCGCAGCCGCCAGAACGCAGGACACAGAATGGATGTGGCACACAGCCCGCACATCGGGCCTGGTGGACACTGAACAGATTGGTGTTTGGAACTGTTTCCATATCACACGCCCTCGTTGGTGGCTTGACGATAAGGTTCTCTTACATGGTAGAATATCACAACATGCACGTGGGCAAACGCCCATTTTGAGGAGTAACAGCTTGATCCACAAACTTGTCCCGCTCACCTCTTCTCGAAGATCGCATTGAAAACTTGCGCGCTGTCCGAGACCTGGAGATGTGACCGTCATGGCTTCCCTGTCAGACTCATTTTCACCTTCCACCTCATCATAAGGGGAGTGTGTTTTTCAGCAATCCCCTCCCCGCTAGTATTCAACCAACCCCCCCCCGCCACCTAACATTAGATACTCAACATTGCGGTATCTCATAATATTTCGGGTGTATTTAACATCGGGGGGGGGGGGGGTTAATATGAGAGGAGGGGATTATATTGGCTGAAGCCGCACCTCTTCATAGCTAGACACACTGATGCGGGTTTTGCCGAGTAGCGGATGTTCCCAGAATCATGTTTAGTGGCATTCAGCCATGCCTTGCTTTCAAGCCGCAAATCCCGTAGGGTTCCGTGGCAGTATTCAAGGTAAGGGATGAACCCTCTTCCCCGCGGCCCATCTTGCTCAGTTGAGCAGCTCGGCCGCTTGAACAACATGTGCTGACAAGTTACTCCATATTGTCGGATACGAAAACTGATGCTTCAAGACCAACCCCGATCAGAAGCGTACAGCATGCACATCAAACTAGGATCCGTAGCACCCCACGAGCAAACCAAGACTCTGCACTTGGGTAACTTACCCAGACTATCTGCACTCTCTGCCAAAGCACACTGAGCGCCTGCTTACAGCGATTAAGGGTACTATGGTCTCGGTACTTGATGACAAGCCTTTCACCAGTACCATGCCTCCCGGCCTTCAGGGGCTTGGCTGGCTCCTTCAGTTGCTCCCCACCTGCTCCCGGGCCACTCAGGAGGAAGAGGTCCTCCGATTTGCATGACACAGTTGGAGACATCGAGAAGAGGATTTGGTGGGCGCAGGGCATTTTACAGGAGTGTTTCTTGATATACTGCTACTTGTAGGAACCCTTCAACAAGCGTCAGCGTCTCAAAGCTGGGGCCTCACGTATGAATAGTCCTGCGTATTCTTGTCAACAGGCGCTTGCAAAACCTCGGAACCATACATCGAACAAATATCAGGGCCCTGGCCCTAGCCGACAGCCTGAGCCTTTGATCCCGAGTGAGGCCTTCAGCTGTACATCTGAACTGGGTACTTCTCGATCGTGCATCTACACCCGGATACCGCAATCATTCTTACCAGGGCACAGGGCATCCAAGAGGTCGTCGCTACAACTTCCCTAAACCCTCATCCGTAAGACCCAATCCCTAATCCTTAAAACCGCACCCCTAATCCCTACCTGGAGGGTCACGTGGACTGAGTAAGTAGGTATACAAGTTAACAATAGGGATAATTGGGGTTATCATATGGCCTATAGGGTTCTTGAACCTACTTTCTCAGTCCCCTGACCCTGAACCCTAAACCCCAAACCCTCAAAACTATCTAGTATTTTCCATTTTCGCTTCCATTATTACCAAACTCAATACCCTAAACCCTAAACCCCTAAACCCTAAAACCTCCTGCCCGGGAGCCTCCTCGGCCAGGAGCTCCTTCGGCACTCCACTGGGTGTAGCCAGCACTGGGGCATGGGCACCGCCGCCCACGCGTGAGGCCATGGCACCTGCCGTGGGGTGAAACCATCAACATGGGCTTAGGTTGGGTCCTGCACAGTCTATATTGGGGGTCATATTAAGGACTATATATAAGTATACTATAAATATTCTCCAACTGTTAATGAGTGGGGGCAGTACCCAAGGCTTAGGAATCAAGCATTTGAGTGGAAGTAGGGGGATTTCCATATTACACGCAAGGGATGTGGAGTTCCGTGTCTAGGAAATAGAGGTTAGGCTTGATTTGGTGTGTCTAGAGGTAGGTTAGCATTGGCAATGATTGTGATGCACTATAAAATTGTAGCTCAGCCCTCCCTTTTTGAAAGCCATCTAGTACCCTAAACCCTAGGTGGGTTCCACAAAAATCCAAGCCACAAGGTCCCTTGTCATGATCACCCCTTCTTTCATGACAGGAGGAGTCCTTTAGGCAAACCTGGCTTATGCTCAACAAGCCCAGAACGAGCCTAAGCTATCCGCTTCAGATCACCCACTGACTGGGGATGGGTCCCATGGCAGGTGCCTGGCTGCATTTTTTGGGGGGGCCAAGCCCTGGATCCGAGCCCAAAATCTACGAAACTCCCCAAACCGAAATCTGAGACCCCCAAGATCCCAGACCCCCCTCAGGCCTGAAGAACCTAGGCACCAGCCCTGCTGGAAGAAGCTCTTCAGACACGCCCTGGGCATAGGGGTTTAGGGAAGTGGACTTGAGAATCTACTTCTGTGAATGGGTGAAGGCTGCAGGGAGAGCAACAGAGAGAACTACTGGGACTATAGGGATCATATAGGGTCGCTATTATAGGGTATTTTGGGGTTATATAGGGAATAATGGAACAGAAAATGGAAGCTACTTATAATAGGGTAGAGACTTCCCCTTCCCCTCAACCCTTCCTCACAGCCTTGCCCGTACACGAGGTCTACAGAACTCAGAACTTGCGATTTCTATGATACTTCGACGATATTCTAGAAGTTGAGCTTAGATTCCTGGAGCCGGTAGTTACAACACGTCTGTTCAAAGGCCATGGGACTCCGAGGAGCCCGCAACATGTGACCCCGTTGGCCAACTATCCAAACCAAACAAGTATATGATGGGGTCCATACTAGAGTCCATACTGCTAGGTCACTGATGCACAGTGACCACGGAGTGTTTTGGTAGTGATATGAGAGTGCCACCTCACCAGCAGACAACCCTCGAGGGGCAGGCAGGGGTAATGATCTAAACTCGGAAGATCCTTCTCAGCTCTGCACTCTGCTCTTACTGCTCTTGTAGGCACAAGGCGCAAACTGTGCCGAGATGCACTATGGTTCCTCGGAGCTTCTGCTCCTCAGCCAGCTGGCCGAACCGGGCGACATAGCCTCAGGAGACCCTCAAAGCTCATAAATGGTTCCGAGACGAGGACTACTGATTACTGTAGATTAAGTTGAGGGTAGCTAGGGGACCCTGATTCTGCGAACCCCGGTATGCGATCAAAATGCTGAGTCTCATTGGGGCTGAATGACACAAGCAATGTTGATTGGCGACCCACGCACGAAGGAACCAATTTCAGCTTGCGATTTCTCACACTTAAGTTTCTAAGTCTGTTCACACTCAAACCATCAGACCCTGAAAGCTGCAGAAACCCCAGCCCGAAACTCACAACCCCAAACCCTGAACCCCAAGCCGAGCCACGTTCCCGGGAGAGGTGCGCATCTGCTGGGCGGTTGATTGGTGTCCACACCGGTACCTAAGCGCTTGTTTTGTATGTCAATGTTTGTACCGTACCCATGGTTCTTGCATAGGACTGATACACGTCTCGGTAGTGGCATGGCAAAGCTTGGCATACTGACGTTCCAAGGTTCTGGAAAGTCCGAAGGATTTCGGGCGCAAGACGCTTACATCTCGTGTCGACTCGTGCTTGTGAGAACTACCATGTCGTCAAGCAACACAAACAGCGGTATAATATGCAACAAAGTCATTGTCTGAATAGGCATGCTTTTAGGTTACGCTGCAAGAAATGAGAAGATGATGTCATAAGAACCAAGTCTGGAATTCACGTGTACTAGTTCGCAAGTGCAGGCAGGGCACGCCTTTGAAGAGACCTTGCAGAGACTCATAGGGAGCAGATGTTCATGTGTTTCCCGAATTATTGCGGGTTACCCTTTTATAATATAGTAGCTTCTTTTTGCAATTCCATTATCCCTATATAACCCCAATATAAACCCTATATAATCCCTATAAGTGGTTCATAAAGTGCAGGGTCGAGGCTGTGGGATCCATGGAGAGTCGAAGATATACTACTCGTTTAGCCTCCAGCCTCCGAGTCCTGGACCCTAAAACCTAAATCCCGTAAACCCTAAAGCCCGAAACCCTGAACCATTACCCTTAAACCCCTGAACCCTGAAGGATCATTTTTTGGCGATCTGGGGCTTGGAGAGCTTAGGGCTCTTGGCAATGGGATTTCTGCCTCTGTGGTACCGCCTCAAGTAGATAGAATATGGAATTGCCCAATAAGATCCGCATATACCCCATATTCTATCTACTGAAGGGGGACTATACCCCTGTTGCACAACAGCTGAGGGCAGTGCGCATCGCATGGGTGAAATTCTTCGAGTCCATTGTAAACCTCTCACAAAGGACACGGATCAGAGCGATGCAGGCTCTGGCTATAGTGTAGAAGCCTGAGGAATTACCAATATTATGTAAAGTCTATTCCCCCTAAACCCTAAATAGTAGCTTCCATGTTCTTTTCCATTATCCCTATATAACCCCAATATAACCCCTATATAATCCCCATATAGCCGTGGTGATTATTTCGACACTCTATTAGACCCCCGCCTCCAAGAAGCCGCAGTCTTGGGTTGGGCTCTGCCGGTTCGCGATAGGCACTAATTAGAGGACCCTTCAATCCCCTGACTGGTAAGACCACCACTACATGCAATCAACTTTGAGCTCTTGCTGGCAGATGCCGGCAGTATGTTCTGTTTAGGGTTTGGGATTTTAGGTATAAAGGTTTAGGGGCTATGAAGGTCCCTGGATTTCAAGAACGTAAATTCTATCCCCAAACCCCGGCTTTTACTTGATTGCCAGATGCATGTGCATACTCAAGGACCGAAAAAAGGAAGATCCTCAACCATGAGATGTATCAGGGTCACCCTGCGCATCGAACCTGCATCTCACGTGCTTCTCAGGGAGGTTGCCCTTATGAGCATCTGAGCATCCACAATTTGCTTAAGGATCGCCATGCAGAATCACAACCACATGATGGGACGAAGTATGAAGACCCTCAGAACAGACCCTTCAATTTCGCCAACCAGAAACGCTACACCACCAAAACCTGAGCCCCAGACCATAACACCCTCAACCCTAAATTGTGAATAGTAATTCCTTGCGTGAACGAAGGCTGGATGGGGCCTGTGGTAGATGCCCTCCGGGAGGACGATAAGGTCGCCCGCATTCAGCTGCAAACGAATCCACTGATCCTGCCGCCCACAACCCTAAACCCCTACACCCCAATGGAGGCAACCTCATGGATCCTACTTTGAGGGACCCTGGAGATACTAATGGGCTCGGGAACCTACTTGTAATGGTTACTGTGGGTTTCTAATGGGCTTAAGGGGTCGAACATATCACCTAACTCCAGGGTCCCTTCGACTAGGGGGACATGTAGTGATGATTCCCCGACGAGAAACTCTCGTAAGCATGAGTTCCGATAAGGAGGCTAAGCTACTATCAACCCTGGTACGCCGCGTCACCGCGGTAAGGGTATGCGTTCAATGGTAGTTTCCATAAATCGAGGGATCCGACAGAGACCTTTACGTACTAAGCTTGAACTTCTTATGGGAACCACCGCTGAATGGTACCCCCAAGTTGGGGAAACCTGCATAGGATTCAGTGGCAATTACAATCTGGGTTGGCCCCTGAAACTTTTGTAAAACATCTATAGGGTCCCCTGTTGATGCCATTAGGGAAAATATTAAATATCCCAGGAGCCTACTCAGCCATGTCTTTTTCCAGGTCTCATTGGATAGTGGATCCGAAGACAAATGGTTGTTTTTGCGGTGCCAAAATTACTAAGCTCTGAACCTAAGCCCTAACCCCCGTATGTCAGCGGACTTGAATGAGATCCCTTTAAAATCTTATCCTATCCTTCGCCTGGACTGAGGCTGTCAGCTTGCTAAATCTTGAGGCTTCAGAAGTCAGAAGGCGCAATGACTCTAGCCTGGCTTTCTTCACAAACCCATAAGCCGTAGCCTTCAGGAAAGTTCTGCATTGGCACCTTGCTGTCGCGCACATCGAAGTAGCCACTGCCTTTGAGGATGTAGCGCACCTCCTGGGAGCAAGGGAGGGAGAGGTCCGGGATTCAAAGCCCTAGCTTCCCTCATCCTGCAGGAAAAAAAAGCGATTACTCTGCCTATATACCCCAATAATGGAGAATCAAATGGAAAAGAAAATGAGATGGAAACTGCTACATATATATATATGTATATGTACATAGAGTTACATAAGGATGCTATGATCTATAGTCGAATGCATGTGGCGTTGCTCAAAGCCTGGTCCCAAAATGTGTGATGGGGATCCTGTTTATCCGGGGGGCGTTGACCAAGGATTAATGGTCCGATGTGGCAGTTACATGGAGCTGGGACTTCGGTACGCGGCTGGCTTACAGGGGAATCCCGTGCTATGCTTCAAGTTTCAAGCACTGTAGCCCCACAATAGAAATGGCGGCCGGCACGAACTATGAAAGGTCCCATGCTCCTCATCAGAGTGGATGTGCTCCTCAAAGAATGCCTTCAGCTTGTTGTGGTAGTCTGGAAGGCATTCCTGCCAACAGGCTTCCAAGGACAAAGGCCGCAGCTTGCCCCAACCTGCACCCAACCCCAAAGCAATTTACCGACATGCTTTGGGTACTGCCCCCACCCAATGTCAGTCTATGATACCTGCAATATGAAGGCTATAATATATATATATATAGTATACATTAATATCCAAGTGTCACTGAATGGGGGCATTACCCAAGACATGCTGCTCCGCAGATTCCGCCCAAAAAAAAAAGCAGCTTCACAGTAAAAGCAGAAGCCGGCATAGGAGCCAAAGTCAGTCATGTGGTACAAGATCCCCAGAAGCTTCTGACATTGTGCTTTGAATCTCCTCAAGGCCTTAAGGGGGGTCAAGTCAACAGTGCTCAAAGTTCCAACTGCCCAGATGTCAGGAATAGTTGGCTCAGCCCTTTCTGCGACTCTGCCTCGGAGCACGTGATGATGTCCGCATAGTTGTAGCCTCGCGCGTCTCGAATCTGCTTTAGCTTTACGTCCTGCACATGGCAGGGCAGTTGCCATGCACACCCTAAACCCTAAACTAATTCGAAGAGCTCGCACTCTGGCTCCTGGATTCCACTTTTCGGCTCCCAGGGGACCGCCTTTGGCGGGTAGTCGCCTGCCGTCAGGGCTCGAAGCCATGCAGCAAGTTTTGGTCTTCACAGCTGGTGGTTCAGGGTTTAGGGTTTAGGGTTTAGGCTTATCGCATGTTAGGATGCTACCAGCAATCGATTTGGTTCCAGCGCTAATGACCGCTGATGCTGCAACTAAATCACCCTTTGACTCTTTGACCTACCGTCAGAATTCTTCCGAGGAAAGACTTCGAGGCCTCATATGAGGCCTGGCTCTATCATATGCTGTGCGGCCTTGACTCCCCGATGCCAAGCTGTAAATGCGCTATCTGTCAAACCTCTAAACCCCACACAGAGCCCAGTGTAATTCCATTAGTTAGGGAAAGACGGTTTATCTGAAGAACCGTTGCATGATGCCAGCCGCGTTCGCTATTCAAGGGGCTTTCAGAACTCCTGAAAGCCCCAAGGCTATACCCCTAAACCTGAAGCCCTACTTCCCGGCCTTGTGGCGGGATATGGTACGCTAGCACACCGAGGTCGATCAGCGCTGCTGGAAGCACAGGCTTGTTCCTCAGCTGCTTTGAAATGCTAGTCCCCGGAGATTCTCTCAAACCTAAACTCTCCGTCCACGAACGTCGCTGCATATCACTAATGAACGACAATGTTGCCCATAATTTCTACTGACGCCTGTCACGCTGTAGTCTCCCACGCTGCAATGTGCTGCAAGCCACTTTGTCCAACGAATCTCTGAAACCGCGTAAGATTCTGGCGCAACCTATAATTAAAAATATCAAAATAACAATAGAAGTACTATCTAGCAATGTAATGAGAGTATAGATATAATACTAATATACTAAATAGCAATAATCCAATCACAACAAGCCGTAGTCTTCCCACCGGAAGCAACAGGAAATAAGGTTTGCCCAGCGTCGGGGTTTGGCGATTCTCTGCAGTTTGGTCTGTGACCTCTTTCGCCTCGTATTTCTCAGCCGAAAATGCTTTGTCAGGGGAATCAGATCCACCCTTAGACTAAAAATCGCAGTCGGGGATTCAGGCAAAAGCCCAGGGCTTTCAGCACCTGAAAACTCGGGGGTAAAAGTTTCGGGATGCCTGCGCCTCACCATCCTGTCAGAATCACCGTCTTGCGGCTATCGGCTACTGGCAACGATAAGGACGATTCTGCGTGCGGGATGGTGCAAATAAATGACTCGTTACGAAAACGCTTCCAACATGGATGAAAACTTGTTGAGAAGTAAGGCCTCCATGTTGCTACGGTATGTACGTTGATACAAAACCATAAAACAACCCAGGAAGAACAGTTCTTTTTGTAGCATCTGTGCTGCAACGACTTCAGTCGTGGTGATATGACTGCAGGATACCGCAGGACACCTTCACCGGTGCCGAATAAGTATCGGTACAGCTACGAGCAAATCTCATGCGATGAGCGCCTATCGTCCAAAACGCGAGCTGACAACAAGTCACGAATCCTCTGCCAAATAGTGCTTCTAGGGGAGCGTCTTACTAGCTTGCCAGTGATCATAACGATGCTGCTCGTCACAGCTAACAGCGATCGCAGCAAACGGGGCCGGTTACAGCTATGACTGGGTGTGTCTTTCCAGCCGTTCGCATAACTTGCGCGGACTGATGCATCCAGGGAGCCATGTACCACGCCTCTATGTGGGGCGCGTGCCCATTCTCTGCTAACACCATTTTGTGTTGCAGCCTACAAACTAATCTAAATAAGGCTTAACGCTTCCTTGATTTTGATGAGCTGCGGAATTGGGTGAAGAAAGTATATCATGCAGGCATGTCATCCACAGGCGTCAACTTTCATCCATGGCCATCCAAAATTGTGATCCATAACTCCTACACGGCACCATTTTATTAAAAAATCTCCAATATTCAGGCTATGCAGGTTTTCCGTGAACGTAAATTTCTGCCTTTCTGCGGGGTCTATACAGAAGCCATCCGCTTGCGCTAGTTTACCTGCAGGATCTCCTGGTAATGCCAAGCCGGCCCCACTACCTCCAAATGCTCCGACTAGCAAGGTAGCACTAATGATAGTAACACTAACAATAGCAACAGTACTAGTAACGGTGATAGTAATGGTAGTAGTAGTAGTAGTGGTAGTAGTAGTAGTAGTGTAGTAGTAGTAGTAGTAGTAGGTGGTAGTAGTAGTAGTAGTAATAGTAATAGTAATAGTAATAGTAATAGTAATAGTAATAGTAATAGTAATAGTAATAGTAATAGTAATAGTAATAGTAATAGTAATAGTTAGGTGTATTGAGCAATAGGATTTAGTAACAGTTATTACAGTAGTAATGATAATCGTAGTAACGTTGCACACGCACAGTCAGGCATGCCTGGAACGTCTGCAGTGCAGAGGACAGCAAGGGTGACGGCACAGCTCCCACATCCAGAAGCACGTTGCCCTTGCAGTTCAGGGTTTAGGGTTTAGGGTTTTGGGGTCAGTGGCTTGCCAGTAAATATGGAATCTCCCCTAAATAGGGGGAACCCAATGTAGACCCCAACACACTATAATCCTTACTACGGGGACCCCCAAAAATGCCTCCCCTAATTTAGGAAATCCCCATGTGGGATCCCGATACATGCAATATTCCTTACAAGTCTCTGTGGCGGGAGCGGCCGGGGGTGTGCCGAGAGGTATGGAGCTTCATATGCACAAGGGGAATGTTACAGTAGCGTCTTTGGTGAACTTGAAGCAGTTGGAAGGTTTGGATGTAAGGACCTTGGACATGTGAAAGGGCTCGAGGTTGACGGCATGCCGGTTTGATTGGCCTCCATGGAGGTGAATCTTTGGGGGCTAGCCGCAGAGCAAGCGGATGCGCGCACTTCTCGTAACCTGTCTACAGCTATCCCCAGATAAGGATGCTGAAGGCTTTCGAATGATTATCTGCTCGATGGAAACAGTGCCTGTTCCTGCTGCATTCCTGCTAAGTGGTTGGGAATGGATCACTGCAGTAGTCCTTGCCCAATCCTCAACAATGGCGGCTGCAACTGCGCAAACCATCCCCTCGTTTCTACCTAAGCATGAGCGAGGATGGCCTTCTGCCATCCCTTAGCGTGTGAGATATGGGACGCTCAAGCCCTCTTGAGCCCTTGGGCGGGGCCAATGCGACTAAAAATTCAAAGAATTCGCAACTCTCAACTGGTTCTGCTGATCAGCAGGCTGGCAATCCGAGGCGCTGAGACTTCTTGTGACAAAAGGGGGGGAGGTTCTAAAATTAGGAACACCTTTTTGGGGATCTCCTTTGCTAAGGACAGGTAATATTGTATGTTGGGGTCTGTTTTGGGGTACCATAATTGTCACTTTGATAAGGGCTTCAGCATCACCAGTTGCTCAGCACGTGGCAGACGTGGAATCAAAGTCAGTTTAGCATTGACAGCAGGCTGCCAGAAGCTGGCTCAATGCTGGGATCTACTCTAGGGGCCCAAGTGATTAGAATACAGTTAGGGGATCCATTATACTACCAGTACAGAAGGCCTATACGAGAAAATGCAATTGTTCTGGCTAGTAAATTCAGCGTGAGGGTTCATGGCCTGTAACAAACTTCACATCCAAAGACCTGCCCTGTGTTCATCCTGTTTCCTTCATGCCTATCCACAAGATGCAGCACAAAAGTGCAAAGAGTACAACTGTAGCTTAGCACTAACTTTAGGACCAAAACAATTGGAAGCACACTAGTCTCTGCTATGGTGCGCTTTTCAATTGCTACTTGAGCATTTGGCCCGTTCAACGCCTGGCCCCGCGCATGCTGGCCGCTCTCCCAAAATTCTCAGTGTTCATGGCATAAAGCACCTGACAGGCGAATTCCTCACTTGCAAATGTTGAAAACCCCGGGCCTTCAGTTAAAAAGTGAAATTGGATCTTGTAGGATTGTAATGATCGTTTTGGAGGATCTTTTCAGGTCATCGCTGGGAGCTCGCAAGCACTTGTGACGTAGCGTCATGGGCATCTTGGAAAAGGTTCTGAGACGTACAACCTTAGGGAAACCGGCCTGGATCCCTAGCATCGTACTCAATTGTTACGTCTCGCTAAGATTGAAGACAAGAGTACCCCTTTGAGTGGTTGGCCCAATTATAGGCCTTAAACCCTAAACCCTAGCATATATTCAAATGCCTTTAGCTCCGAAAACCCAGCATCTTCATGGTGCCAGCTTTGGTTCCCGAAGCCCGGCCCACCTTCAGCCGGAAAGCCCACCGTAGATCCGTGTCGTTTATGCTGTTGAGCTTGGGGAACTCGTGAACGATGACCTTGAACCATATCTCACGGCCGCTTTTCTTGAAGGCTTCCTCCGACGGCCAGTTTGCTCATGATTGGCGCGTGTCATTAATAACGCTGGCCTTCGCAACATGAGCCAAACTGAGCAACAGACACTGCAACTTACAGTTGTTCCGTGTGACCAAAAATTTCCCATCTTAGAAGCCTATGCGACTCGAGACCCTGTCCTTGAACGCGTACAGTCGGCGATTGCCGCAGATGACGTGCAAGTTGCCCCGCCGAGAGATGGCGACCAAGGCCTGGGATTCACATGGCTTGCAGCGCGGGATGAAGGCTTGGGGTATATACAGGATAATGGAAAAGAAAATGGAAACTGCTATAATGGGTTTTATGGAGTTTATATAGGAATTATAGGGTATGTATGGGGATAGTGGAAAAGAAAATGGAAACTACTATAGTATAATGGGGATTATGTAGGGTTTAGGGTTTCGGGGTCCCAGTACGATCCAGGCTTCTTTGTAGAGCGAACCCCAACCTCAAAATTGCGCACCTGCATGGCCCGAGGTACATGGGGGTTTCCCAAAATTAGGGGTACCCTTTTTGGGGTCCCAATAATGAAGGATTATAGTATTTGGGCTCTGTATTGGGGTCCCCTTATTTTAGGAAACTACCACATAGATCTTGCGGTAAGCATCATGTAGGGCAATTCTGGCTCCTTTATCGTGCCTGCCTTCCCTTGCGGCCAACCCTCGCTCTTTAACCACCATGTGGTTGTTTAATAGCAAATATTTGATTCAAGTTGGTATTGCTGTGAACCTGAAGGACAAAAAAGTAGTGATAGTAACAATAATAATGATGATAATAACAGTAGCAATACTAGTTATAGTCATAAACACTTACAAAATACTCCCAAGCACAGCCAAGGGGCCGGGAAGTGCCAGCTCACCTTTGGATTCTCCACTAATTCCATGGTGGTTGCTTCCACCGGCTTGCCCGCGTGGCTCCCGTGAAGGAAAGTTTCTGTCAAGCGGCCGTGAGAAAATCGAATGCTTTCGTTGCAGGCAGTATGCCACTCCAAGCAATTCTGGTACCTGCGTCACTAAAGCTGGGACTGCTAGTGTTATAGAACGCATCCACGCGAAACTGGAACCCAATATTGCTGAAGACACCCGGATGACATACTGCCATACAGCAGCCATTTCACTGCAGTACATTTCATCGACACACCAACTAAGTGGACACGAGCAAGGGTTAGCCCAAGGTACTCATGCTCCGCATTCGGATTCTTGGAGGGATCAAGTTGCCAGAGTGTGCGCGAGTCACCCGAGTCCTGCGCCCGGAGTTGATCAGGTTGGCCGGTCACTTAAAATCTTTGGGCTTGTTTTGGCTTCCCCCGCTTGCCGCCTGCCTATCAATACTAGTAGTGCTGCGAAAGAATCAGCTTCCCCAAAGTGCCCTGGCCTACGCCACAATGAAAAAACGACTGAGAACTTCCCAGCCTAAATCATGACCAGGAAGTCTACCTAGCGGGACCTAGCTAACATTTCTGAAGGTCGGTTCCACAACAATGCGGCAGCTTGGTCAATGTGAATGAGATGGTAGTTCAGTGGACACCAATATACATCCCCAAATACAGCCATCCTGACCCTAAATTCGAAACCCTAAACCCAGAAACCATAAGCCCTAAAACCCACAAACCTAAACGCCTACACCCGTAAAGCCCTGAACCCTTCGAAGCTCCCAGATAGCTTCATCATGCTTCATCATACTGACAGAGGCGGCTCTGCGGCAAGATGAAACCATGGAAGGCGAGCTGGGGCAGACTGACGCTGCTTCTTTTTGATTCAAAATTTACTAAGGCTATTCAAACCTTAAGTCAGTTCGAAGGGTTGTATAGTAGGGATATATAGGGATACTACCCGAGTAATGGAGAACCAAGTGGGAAAAAAAATGGAAAAGGAAGTCTACACTCCCCTGTCCCCCTCCCACCTAAAGCTAAACAAATGTATGCTCGCCGCTGCATGGAATCGAGTCCTGAAGCATGTCCCTCAGAAGTTCCCGCACGGGAATGCAGCTGTCCCGTGCCTGCTCTCCCAGGCCACCAAACTCCGGCCTCCAGTTCAGGGGTTCAGAGCTTTTGGGTTTAGGGTTTTGGAAAAGGGCTTCAAGCTGTGTTTAAAAGGTCTGGAATTAAGGTTAAAGGATGCAAAAGCACGCAAGCAGAGACTCTAATAGAGATAGACTGTATACATCATACTCAGTCATACTCCACGCACAACTATCCGCAGAACACAACTGTTATCAAGGGCTGCGTTAAGGTTTCCTTGAATGTCTGCATAGTCCCTGTCCCTTGATCTTCAAAACTCCGAAGCAGCTACATGCACGATTCTGGTGGCCGTGGATTCCTTGAGTTCTTCCTGGCTTCCTCCCATCCGCGTACAAACGCATGACTAAGGCTTATGCCGGG